TATTGAGTGTATGCATTCGATTTTCATATTGCAACATGGATTCCAATCAATCAATTTCATTTATAAAACACCCAGCAGTTCAAAGCGCATCACAGAAAAACTAAGAACTGACCCACAAGATAAAAACGAACAGCATCCTCTCCGCTCCAGTGTGGAAAGTCCACAGAATGTATTCCACAGTATCATAAGATAATAAAGAAATTATGCTATGATGACTGGATTGGAAAGTACGACTTTTGTGGCCTGAAGCAATGACTTAAGTGTGAACTAGTTGATCGATGTGCTAATTTACAGGCATTCCTGCTTTCTCAGCATCTCGCCGTAGTTTGTCAAAGACGGCCTTTATTAACGGCGATGTGCATCATTTGAATATTTTAACAAAGTGTATCAAAATGTATGTATGTGGTTGTTTTAAATGCCTCTTAAGCACCTGCTGCGAGCATGAAGGGTGATGTTTTTTTATGGAAACGTTCTGGATGCACTGTCTGCTTTGAAACAGAGCCCACACAGCACCATGTGGTTCACGGAGCTGCTTGGCAAATCCAGCTGAACAAGTGACAAATTTTAATGTCATTCTAATTGGTTGAAGGGATTTCCTCTTTCTACCGAAGATCACTTAAGCAAAATAACTCATGATACAGAGAAATCTATTTTTCACTTCCTTCTTGCTCGCTACATTTTCCTTTAACATATTTACTTACCAGTAAAATGCACACAGCCTTGTTGAATTATTTTTAAATAAGTTAAAACTAATTAACAATAAAAAACAATGCGCGCCGTTAAAATAAGCCATACAGGATTAAAACAGGATTACTTTTTTACTTGGACATTTCCAGAGGCAGTTGGTTTGTTTCTTTCTAGAGATGACAATAGTGAAAGTCGTGTGGAAGCAAACTGCATCATTGTCAACATTTCCTAGTCGTGTGGGTTTGTACTAAGCGGATGTGACAGTGGGGATTTACCTTTTTCTGTGTTGATGTGCTCTGGCAGTCACCTCCTGACATCTTTGCCATTTACAAATGTTACCAAATTTAGAAATCAACTGCAAGTGAGATTAATACACATTTTAATTTGATTACCAGTAGGTGGCAAAGGCATGTTTTTGCATATAAGACTGAACGGCTGATGCAACATGATTCCGTATATGCATCAAATTATTTAGACGCAAACAATTTTTGAACATTCTTATTGACTGAATTATTAAATCCACGTACAATTTTTATTATTACAATGTACAACATACCTTGACTTGCTGAAACCGGGAATATAAAGGAGTTTAAGAAATTCAGCCGTTAGAAGTCGAGTGCGTTTTTAAAATGCAGTTCACATTGGAAAGAGGAAAAAGTATCTTGAATGCAGGAGGAATATCTTGGTGTGTCTTACGCTTGATTATAGAGCCCAAAGGACTGAATGCTCCAGAGGGAGTTACTGAAATAAAAAAGGATCTCAAAAGAAACATAATATTTAATATTGCAGAGCAGAAAACAATTAAAAGGAGGTGAATGCATGGTAAACCAGGGCAAGGAAACTGGAGTGTACATGTAAAGAAGGTGTAATATTGACCTGGTGCAGATGGTTTCAATTCCATTTAGTTTATTTATGTATCGCCGGTTCACAACAATGAGGCACTGTACAAAAAAAGCAATCTCAATTCGATCACATATTCTATCCAATTCTTTCCAGTTATCAAACGATCCATCAATTCAACTCATTATTCGAGTTTGTTGAATTAGTTTTCTATCTAAGGAAACCCAGCAGAGCATTGTGTCGTTGACTTTACAGAAATCCTTTGGACCGAGCGTGCATGAGGCGACAGTGGAGAGGAAAAACTCCCTTTTAACAACATGAAACCTCCAGCACAACCAGAACCTGGCAAACTGAGTATTATGCATGTGTTTGGCTGTCCAGGAGGGCATCACACCCAGACAGAACGCCAAACAAGACGCAGCTTCTATGGAGAGGGAAAAAAACTGAGAGAAAACACAAATTTAACAACATGAAATTGCAGCAAACAATGTCAATTGGAGCAGTGTAGAAGAATAAAGTAGCAGAGTGTGGAGAATTTCACATTTTCTTCCAGTAGCGTATTCCCGTGGCAGCATAACTACAGAAACAGCTCAGGATGACTTAAGCCAGTCTAACTATAAACTTTATCAAAAAGGAAAGTTATTTTAGGCTTAAAGGGACAGATAGCTGGTTCCACAGAAGAGGAGCCTGATAACTAAAGGATCTGCCTCCCACTCTGCCAGCAGTAAATCTGCAGTCTTCAGAGTCTGATATCTAGGTGAAATGATATAGAGGTATCTAACTTGCATGCAAACAAAGTGCCTCAGTTGTTTCTTAGTTATCAATTTTTAGCTTTAGAAGCAACAGATTACAGCCTACGATCCTGATAGGATCTCTATCAAAACTGACCTGCCGATTCCAATTTTGACCAATATTTATTTATTTATTTATTTTTTGTCTGAAAAATTGCAGAATTTGTAAACGGCGAGGTGAATATTGTTAACAGTCATACAGATACCTGGTGGCCCAATCTGATCTACCAATCAGGGACAGCGGCTGATCATCAGATCTGTGCAGATCAGAGCAGTCAATAAGATTAGCTTTTAATGTAAGTATTGATGGATCATCAATCTCTAAAAATTAAGGAAATCTTTAGCTGATTTAGCTGATTTATTGACTAGTGTAGAAGTGTTTGATAAGTAAATATTCCTCCTGTGGTGTTTGAAGCTAAATGCAAAATTGATCTCTTAAGCAAAAAAAAAAAGGCATCTGATGAACAAATAACTTTGGAACAAAGGAACATTCAGTACATGAGTTCACTGCTCTGCAATCAACCACTTGATGACTCATTTAAAATGATTGATGCATTTTGTTGATCTTTCAATAAGGACTTGCATATTTCACAGTTTTTGGAAAAAATCATTCCAGCATTTCAAACAGGAAGTCAGGACTCAGTGGAACTATTGCCCTTTGTCAAGGTCATCAGGCTTATCTCAGGAATGTGAAAATGTAGTAGCACAAGTGATGGTATTTAGGATCCAGATAGCTCCTCCACCTGCAGCAGTTTTGGCTCAGACCAGGTTGTTTTTACTGAAAACTGCTCCCTGGATCAGCGTCTGATGAGTGATGGATTCATCGGCCATAAGACGGCATTTGAATCAGTAGCTTGCTTTCATCTAAAATCTGATTTTATCATTTCAACTGAGACAATAAGCTGGTTTACATCTAGTATTCAGTTAGAGGCCCAGTGCCTTAAAATAAACCAAGCCATATCTGCAGTTTCGAAGCAAAGTCTTTTTATAAATAACACACCTTTCGTTAGGTCGTTAGATCGTTAGGTGCCAGCTGTCAACTCTGTGCAGATGATGCATTTTTTTTTTACGCACCTGATGAGTCTCCTAACAAAGCTGCAGAGGTATTATTGTCCAACTCTATGTCTGACGTCCGTCGACTCATCCAAAATCAGATGGTTCAAAAGCAGTGGCTCTGTGCCTTTTAAGAAGAAAACTTGATTTAAAGGGATATGTGATAATCATGTTATTAGATCCCCCACTTAAATTTGATAAACGTATGAAGACAATCTCCCACACAAAAAAACAGTCGCATTATTTGTTTCAAACTCATCAGAAACCACAAACCAAATTAGGCAGCAGTGCAATGCATGCATTCTATGATTTTCTGTCAAATGATATTGACATGACAGCATGAACAAGGAGCAAGTAGTCTGAAGACATTGTTTAATATCTCTTAAAATGAAAAGTTAAGATTAACAGTGAAAAAAAATATGGAATAAACTGATCAGTATTTTATAGTTTTTACTGTTAATCTTCACTTTCCAGTTAAATGAAATGTCCAGGAGCAGCTGTTGTGAACTAGCCATGGCTGTAAACATTATGACGCAGGAATGAGATTGTTTTAATCTGCTTGTTGCATCTGCGCCTGTGAAACAAGCAATACGATAAAAATAAATAGTGTAATTTTGCGTCAGAGTGTCATCAGCTCCTAACAGTTTTGTCCGTGTCATGACCCCTCGTCGTCAAAACAGATACTGGAATTGCGTGGACGTGTATTAGTGTGTATTATATCACTGCAGCTGATCTGACTGGTGTTCAGCTCCTCGTCTTTTTTCCTCTGTCTGTAGCTGGACAGCTGAAGGTAGGAAACATTTGATAACTTAATCCTAATTGAAGGTTTCTGTTCAAATGAGCTTTTTCTTGCTCAGTGAGTGTAACTCAAGAAAGGCCAAGCCTGGTCTTTGTTTTGGAGCTCTTTGGATACAATGACTTACAGTGACGTGGGGTGATGAAGGCCCACATTGGCCCTTCCAGGTATTTTCTGCTGATGAAAAGGTTCCTTTGTGCTTCTCTCCCAATACCTGCCCAAATGTCGCTGGTAAAATTCCTCTTAAGGACCAAGGTTACCTAATTTTTTTCTTTTTCTTATTTCCTTTTGTCATGATTTTCATGCTGAAGAGTATTTTCTTTATTTTTAGTTTTTTTTCAAATCCAGGGAATTTTTATATTCACCTTGTAGATTAGATCCACCCTCACGGGTTGTACGCGTGCACAATGTCGTTGTTTTCACAACATAACAAAGCAACATGGAACAAAACGGTATGTCATTCAAATTGGTGCTTTTCGATCATCTGGAATGGAAATGAGACACCTCTGGGTTTTTTAGAATTCCCCAGGGTTTTTTTTTTCCTTTTGCTTTGGATCTCTTACATCTCTGCTCAAGTCCAAAGCGCTTGGCGGATTAAGCAAATGAGGTCTGCTGACGTGTGTACAGTGACTCCCACTGTTCATCTTGCCAATAATTGTTGTTTAGTTCTGCTGCCTAAAGAACTACATTAAGCACATCATGTATGGTTCTCCACTGCAGGAAGTGGTTTTCCTGTGTTTTGAACAAGCGATGCGTTGACATTTTGTGCAAAGTTATTGAAATGACTGGAGATTAAATGAACACGCTTATGTTGTGTTTCTTTGTCATTCCAGACAGAGTCATTTCTGGGCCTGTTGAGGACACGGACACCACCAGCTTCGTGGCAAAGTTTGTAAGGAACATTTTTAAATGTTTTCTTCATCTCTTCCTGCCATCAGTGAACCATGCCACTGCTGCAACTTGCTCCCTGTCCAGTTTGTTTTGTGATGATTATGCATTGTTCTCTATTAGAAAGCTTTGCAAAGTCTTGCAATAATCTGCTAAGAAATGTACCAGAACTGAACACACTGTGCTGCCGATGCCAGAGGGCTCATCGCAGAGCAAGTCATGGCAGGCTGCCCTACGTCTCTGCGCACAAGAGAGCCGTTTTGTTCGTCCTTGGCAGAGGCAGAGCTTCTCTTCCTTAATTAGTCTCAGCTTTGTTCACATGTAATGTGGTCATGTTTGTCCTTGTCTCTCCTGCAGTCCTTGGAGGCCAATTATCCTGTCCAAGTCACAGACCCTCACGGTAATAAATGCTCTCACAAATTTGGTGTGTTGTGCTCAGCAGGTGTTGACAGTTTTAGTCAGGATTATAATGTGCTGCTCCAAAAACCCTAAGGAGTCATTGAGTGAATTAAAATATTACTGACAATTTATTTATTTCAAGAACTTCATCACCGAGTGAAACACATTAAATGGATTAACCACTCTTGGGTGGAAATCTGAAAGGCTTTATTTTTGATGATTTTCCACTCAGGTAATAGAGATCACATTGAAAATTGGGATATTACATCAGATCAGTAAAAAATAAAAACAATTTTTAAAAACAGACTTAAGGATTAAGTCGTAAGGAAGAATATGTTTAAATACCTGCATCTACGTTATTTTCAAATGGTCCTTTAATTTGACATAAGGGCCTCAAATGAATGCATATTGTAATTTATTGAATATAACTGTAAGGAGTTACTAAGCAAAAATAAAAAATTGTTTTGGAAGTGATTCGTTGGAAGTAAAATTAGCCTCCTTTGTAAATTCACTTCCAGATGAGAGCTGTCCAATTCTGTCAGCTACATTAAAAATAAAACAGACACATTTGTTTTATTAATCATTTATTTGTCTTTCTACCTATTTGAGAAGTGACGATAAAGCAGATGCTGCATTTTCAATCAACATGGCAGAATGTCAAAAAGAATTAGAAGAAAAAAGAAAAAGAGCCCTTGTGTCCGTCCGCCTGCCTCCAAACACCAGCCTGTCTGTCAGTCATTTAGAGATGAAGAGTGTGTTCTGCAAATCCAAACTGGGTTACCTACAATAACCCACTTTGGCCAGAGTGTTTCCTGTTTTGAGAATTTGACAGAATTTCACACGAAGGTTGTCGAGCTTTCATTGCTTCTCAGAGTTAAAACGACTCAAAAGTTTCACGTTGCATTTCCAAACATGCAGACATTGCATTTTAGAATGGAAAAATGTTCTACTTTTGCTTTTACTTTTAACCCTCTTACTACCATCACCTCAACATTTTTAATTATTGTGATGGGTTTTTATTATTATTATTATTAATTTCTTTGTTCAAAACAGAAAAAATAAAATGAGTTCAAAGAGTGAAGATTTCACCCTCCTGTGTTTATGTGTTATGAAAATCTATCTTTTGCAAAACGTTTTGGGCCGGACCCCCAACCGGACCCCCAACCGGACCCACAGCCTCAAACGCATCATACATAACAACAACATCAGCTGATCACGTGTCACACGTCGCTGCAGTTCCTAAAGAACCACATTAAGGTTTCTCAAAACATTTCTGAAAAACGTTCCGTGTGGACGCGAGTGTTTCTGAAAACAGCAACCTATCTTAAAAAATTCAAATAAAAATCCTCCCCAGGTGTGGAGCCTCAATGCAGACAATATTTGTAAGAAATTACCTTGAAACTGTTATAGCAAAGTCAAAAACCGACAGTGATATGCACAGAAGGTCTTCAGTAAGATACTGACTGTTCACGGCTCACAGAACCCCGCCTGAGCTAAACCTTGTGTGCTGGGTCGATTAGGGTAGGTAAAGCTCAGACATTAGAAGAATGAGCTTTGACATTTATTGCTGAATGGTTTGATGTTTGTAGGATAAAAAAAAAGTCTACCAAAAGGTTCCAGTTAGAATTCTCTGAAGCCCAATCAGAACATCTGCTGGAACAGAAGTTACAAATTGAAAAAGATATTCTAAATAGAGCCTTGACGATGTTCTGTCTCTCTTCCCAAACAAGGAAAACGTCTAATCCTGTGTAATCTGCAATATTTTCCTGGCAGATGCTGTGACACTACATCTTAGCTCCATGGCCTCTGGGTACCTGCACCCCTCCTCTCAGGACAAGATCAGACAGGTCAGTCGGACCGTGGCGTTCTTTTCCTAAGCTATATTTGCCTTAGTTTGCTAGGACAGCATAGTGTTACCATTTGAAAGATTATCTCTAGGTTACGGTCAATCGCACTGAGGTTTGGCACGCAAAAAGAGCATATCGTAAAGACCTCAATTATTCAAAAGGTGAGCAGACGGATGCAGGGAAAGAAGAACTGACCGACTGTCCTCAGGAAAAAAACATGCAAAACTGCTGTAGTACTAGAAAAGAGGTTGTCATGTAAGGAATTTCAGTAATTACATAACCAGCGAATTGAGTGCGGTTTTAAGTTCTAAGTTTGAGTGGGTGTATGAAAAAAGGTTGCTTCGGCCGTGAGATTAAAGAGCGCAGCCGAGTCCTGTTCATGTTGAGAGTTCTCAGTGCTGCTCGACCAGCTGGCTTAGCAAAACTAAAAATCTATACAAAACACCCTGCAGTGTTGATTTGATCACTGAGAAACACAACCAACCAGCCTGTCAAATGCAGGGAGATCTAAGTCTGAACACTTTGGATGTTCAGAGGTCAGAAGGTCATTCTGATTCCAAAATTAGTAACAGTGAAGATGACGGTGTGAAAATCTTGGTGCTGTTTTTTTCTTTTTCAGCTAAAATAATGGAGTATTGTGAAAAAGAATTTATTTTTTTGTCACTCTTTTAAAAAAAATGTTCCTCGTATATTATATAGACTCATCGCACATGGAGTGAAAATATTTTTGTAATGTTGAGGATAATGGCTTATGCATAACAAAACCCCAAATTACACAGTCTCGGAGATTTTGAATATTATGTAAGATCAATAAAAAAAATGTTCAAAAAGAAATGTCAAAGTAGATCTGTTTCAATGCTCTGGGGGTTAAAGGTCAGGGGAGCTTGCTTTGCCAATCAAGCTCAGTACCACCATGGTCACTGCAGCAGCTGCTGGTACCTTTTGGAGTTTGGGTCGGAGCCAAGTCCTGCTGGAACCTGCTGAGTCGACTCGACTTTATTAAAGTGGACCAGAACCAGAATATATCATGGACTCTAATCTGACTTTAATTAAGGCTGAGGCAGCTGTTCTGTACAAATAAGAAAGTCTTTTGAGAATTTTTGAGTAAAATCTGCAATAATTATGAATAATGGAAAACAGTGCAGAGATTTGTTGATTTTGCGTGAACTCCCACAATAACTCTCAAGAAACCGAAGGAACTGATTGATATAATTTGTCGGTAAATAGACAAAAGCTGCATTGATTTGAGTGATTAAAACATTTAAGCACATTTAATGTTTAGTCGAGAATCCGGAGGGCCACATAAAAAGCTCTGGAGGGCCGGATTTGGCCCACGAGCCTCGAGTTTGATTTTATTTATTTATTTTTTTATCACTTTGAACTGTCAACATTCTGACAAATTAGGATTGTTGGTGGAAAGTTTTTCTTCCCCCCCTCCACGCCTCCCTAAAGAACGCACCTACCACACCTTCCTCTTTAGGTCTGAGAACGATGCGCAGCGTTTAATTCCTCTTTAATCTGTGCTGTGAGCAAACAGGTTGTGGTTTTGTTGCGCTGCGCAGCTGCAAGCTCCTCTAATAATAGAGCAGAAAGGCAGCTTCCCTCCGTCTACGGCATGCAACCTCCTCAAAGGGAGCTTTGATGGTGAGACGCTGTTAGGAGAAGTCGTCAGCTGAAAGTGGGGAAGAAAGTCTGACCCTTCACAAATATGTATTGATGAGACGTCGTCCCCAGGGGACGTGGAAGCAGAGCCTCGATGCGCTCAGAACGGTTTCTGCTTCGACACGTTTCGGTGCAGCAGTGATGGATTTACCGCTCCAAATATCCTCACTTCATTGATCTTTAGACGGGTCTCGTCAAATCATGAATTACATTGAGATGCATCAGACATACAGTTTATATTAAAAGCATCCCTTGGAGGTTTTATGTTATTTTTGTTGCTTTTTCGAAGCGATCATCAACAAAATGTCTTTTGTTATTTTTTCAATACAAAAATAACTTATTTCTGTAAAATGACAGTTAAATAAAAATATTTGACAAAAATAAGTGATTTGGATTCACTTACAAGTGGATTAACATTTGTTTAACACATTAGTGCAGAATTTTCTTAATGGATTCAAAGAGATAATTATCACCAAGTAATTGTAAAAATTATGTTATTATCCAAAATGATAACTACCTCTTTTGCAGGGAGGAGTGAATTAAAAAAAAAAAATATATATATATATATATATATATATATATATATATATATCAAGAAAATTAAGCCGTTGTTCTATCTTTGTGTGTAAGATATGAATAAATGTAACCTGTATGTTCTGTACTTTTAGCCAGTTGAAGATATGGAGGACTGCAGTTGCCCAACATCTACTTCACCAGGTAGTTTTTTTTTTTTTGTTTGTTTGTTTTTTTCACTAAGTTCAGTTTTTTTTCGCACTAATTCACAACATGTCATCTTAAGCTAGTTTACAACAAATGTCAGTTCAAATCAGTCATTGACCCTCGTTATCTCACCACACAGTCCAGTTTGGTTTCGCATCCAAACCGAATAAAAAAACGACAACAGCAGCTCCATCAGAGGCTCCATGTAGAAGAGAAACACAGATAAACTGTGTGAGTTTTGAAGTGAACATGGAGGATGAGAGAGAGAACAGGAAGTTAGTAGGATCTCAACTGGTGACTGCAAGATAGAGATGATTAGTAATTAGTAATCATTTATTTGGAGCTGCTAATTCCTACAGAAACTGGCTGGTTGAATAAATTTAAAACTACAGCGTTATATGTCCTACTGATTTTCTGAAGATGTACTTACAGTGTTGATGAATAAAATGATTACTCTGTTCGTCATGCTGTTCGATTCGGGCCGGGTCCCACAGAGCCTCTGAAGTGAGCTCCTCTTTTTGTGCCTCCTGTGCTCAGACTGTCCCAAACAGCTGCAGATTCTCGGCAGCCCTTGTGAAAAATGCTGCTGCCCGGCGCCCCCGCCCAAGATCAGCGACCTCATGAACGACAAAGACCTGCTGGACGTGCTGCGGCTGAAGCTGGACCCAAACCACTGCACCATCAAAAACTGGAAGAACTTTGCGAGCCGCTGGGGAATGAGCTATGACGAACTCACCCTGCTGGAGCATCGGACCCAGGGCTCCCTGTCTCACAGCCCCACCCAGGAGTTCCTGCTGCGCTACAACCAGAAGACGGTCACCGAGCTCACCGAACTGTGCCGCATCTATCAGCGCATTGACGTGCTGCGGCTGCTGCAAAGCTGGATAGAAAAGGACTGGCCGTCACGTTGGCAGCAGACTCACTAATAAGTTGAAGAATGTATATTTATCTGTTTGTTTCTTCTCCCAGGGTGTACATGTTTCTCCCCTTTTATATCTTTTTGCCTCCAAGCTACAAGTGTTTTTTTTTTTTTAGGCAAATTCTTAGAAAACGAACGTTTGAAAAGATAATGAACTGAAAAGGGAAGAAGCGTGTCAACATTCTGACCAGCAACACTGACAGATGTATAAGTAACAGAATGATTCATATCCTTCGGCTCGCCGCCTGTGGTGTCGCTGCTCTTCCCATGTAAAGTCAGAACAAACACTCATCAAAAGAGTTGCTGTGTAGTCGAAGAGAAATGAAGACAACAGTAAGTGAGATTTGTATCTGTAACCAAAACACAGCCGACTCAGTGAAACTCAGAACTATTGCTCGTGTCCCAAAGGGAAACTAAATGTTGCCGCAACTGATATCATCCACGTATCTTCAAAGAGCTGCAGCGAGTGGCGATGCTGCAATGCTGCGGGCAGAAAGGTCCGCTCGCTAGCCATCAGTGAAACAAGAAGCACAAAACAGTTTTTCACAGATTTAACACCCATGTTTGGTTGTTGTAGTGGTTCGCATCGTCGCCTCACAGCAACATGTTCTATAATAAAAGCCTCAGCTGTGCAGCCTGTTCTCTCTTTGTGAATGTATGGATTTTCCCCTGAAATAATACTTTTTCCACAAATGGTTGACGTTAAATTCCTGTTAGGATTGTAAACTGTCGGCTGTCTGACACACTGACCAGGAAATACCTGATACTTTCTTTCCTGTTGCTTGCTTTGATAAAAACCTCTCCTCCTATTGTAAAACTAGATTGAATATAACTGCACAAAAATCACAGCTCCATACTTATTAGAATTTTAAAATCAGTTCAGTACTTTTCGGTAGCTTGAATCAAGACAAATTTCTGAAATAAATTACATTTTATTATGTTCCAAACATTAAAAAAGCGAAACGTTAAGAACTGACTGGAGATTTGGTTGGATTTTTTTTCAATGAATGAAGTACATGCAGGCATAGCCAATGCTATATTGTTGGAGACAACAGTACAGCATGGGCTTACCCTACCCTAATATAGTCACTTGAAAATGGTCAGTGTTCATATTTAATATCTTTTAAATGACATTGTGCCCATATTTGAGAATAAAACATGTTTAAATCACTTTGGAGTCGTTTTGCCATGTCAACAACCTAATGTCCGAGCTGTACTTGAATGTAGCGTGGTTGATCTCCTCATCAACCAACTTACATTTATACAATGTATGGCTGGATGCTGCAGGTAGCAGTTTGGGCGTCAGGAGCTTCATGTTTAAATATTTTGTACGCAATGTTTCATGCACAAGTTGTATAAAAATGAACGTTGCATGAAAGCATATGTAAATAAACCTCTGACCTGCGACAGCGACACAAACCTTTTCTTTGGACAATAACTATCTGACTGCATGGTTACTTAATTCAAGCAGCATTGAACCCAATGTTTTTCATGACTTTAATCTTTTATTGTTACAAACTAATTGAAATGAACCACATTCAGCCTAATACAATAGTGAAACGCCTAAAAGATGTGAAAACATAAATTGGATGAGAACAGCAATATGTGCAGACGTATCTATATGTAGACACGTGTGCACATAGATACATTTACAAATGTGAAATGTAAATGTGAACCAATGCGTATGGAATGCAAATGATCTCACTGAAAAACAAAACGGGGTCACAAAACGGGGTCAGGTCAGCACTCCACACAAGTCTAATATGATTATTCTTAAGGTGGACAGATCACAAAAAAGCCCATTGATTACTGTATAAAGATTCACATGATTGTGGACGAGCGGCAGCGTTGCTCTGCTGGACGACGTCACCAGAGGAAGTTCTGGGGTTTTATTTATAAATGTGGTGTGAAAACAAACCTGACTGCCACTTTCCACGCCAAGACTGTGAGCTATAAGAACGACAAACTTGGTGGGAGAATATGCTGATGTGCTGACTCTTTACTGTAGACATTTACATATAGAGGTGACACTTGTGGAAGAAATGGGAGAATTAGGATGCAATTTTAAGAATCTCTGATATGTGGAAGTCAAATGTGATGTTTAGTGGCACAATGGTCTGGTCTGGTTTTCTATTGCTTTTTCATGTTGTCTTGCAGTGCTCTCTTGAGTCTTTCCTCTCCAATGAACATATTCCTGTTTTAATTAGTGTCCCTTGTCCATGAGATGTAGATGAATTGCTGAGTCTAGATTTCCTGGCTTGGCTCTTCTATGTTTGGCCATCCTTTAGCATTGGTGCTGTTTTGTGTATCTGGTGAAGAGCTCTGAACATTGGCTCCTCTACACGACCAAACTGCCACCTAGTGTTTGGGTGTTTTACACACCAGACCTGAATCTAAAGGTGCCCAAGAAAAGGCTTTTCTATTTTATTGTGTGGATATAAGTGCTGGCTTCAAAATGCACCGGTACTTTATGCTTCATAAATATCCTTCAGAGTTTCTCTGATAGCCCAGTCACATAAGGATTGAGAAAGTTTCTTTGCCTCTTTGGCTTTTCTTATTCACTGGACTGAGTTTAGGCTTGGAATCTGGATAGAAGTTTTTGATATTCACAAAAACTGGCATTCTCCATAAATATTTTTGGAGAATTTAGTAACACTTGCTCTTTATTTCCCAAAGTTATGCGGGGGAAACCAAATATTTCAGCTGCCTGAAATAATTTGTTCCCCCTCCATAACATGGGAACAAATCAATTTGCCTGCAAGTCTTTTACTGTGTCTAATCTTCTCATCGCCAACAGTAAATCCTGTGAATTTGGTATCATTTAGTCTTTATTTGCCAAAGTTATGAGGGGGGAACCAAATATTTCAGCTGCCTGAAATAATCTGTTCCTCTGTTCAACTCTCTTTGGAGGTAAAGTTACTTACCAAAGTAACTTTAGTAAATAAACAGCAAATGTTACCAAATTCACAGGATTTTTTGTTGATGAAGAGAGGATTAAATACAGCTAAAGACTTGCTTGTAAATTAATTTGTTCCTATGTTATAGAGGGAGGACAGATTATGTCAGGTAGCTAAAATATTTGGTCCCCCCAAAGTAACTTTGGCAAATAAAGTTGGTACTTTGTAATAGTCTGGCTTTGAATTTCCCAGGTCCCTCCCAAAAAAATAATGCAGAAATGAGCAAGGTTTCTAATCTCATTAAACAATCATAAGTTTATATTTCAATAAAATTCACATCAAATTTTTAACAGCTGAGATTTCTAGAAACAAAATCAAACAGCACTTTGTGCTTGCTCTCTGTCCATCCATTGTAGCTCCTTAAAGGCAAAGCATTTGGTTCTCCTAAAACAAAGGAATCAGACCTGAGGAGGTTTCAGTGATTTATTAAGCAACAATTACATTCACAAATTGATCTTAAAATGTTAAATGGGAGAACAGTACTCAGAATTCTGTCGTGTACTTTGATAACATGCAGTTTACTGGGTAAAATGTATTCAAATGAAAAAGTTTAGAAAAATAGCTTGCATAAATAACAGAAATATCAACATTGCTCATTAAAAAAAAAGTGGATTCTATTACAGTAATACAAACAGATGTGAATTTGATTTAAGTACAGGTATATATACACACACACAGCATTTCAGATTTGATTCCTAGTTTTTAAAGAGTCAGACAGCAACTGGGTCATCAGAGTCAAGACAAAGCATATTGGCAAGACTCTGGGATAGCCTCTGATCTTCATCTGCTGGACCCTCTACAGACCCAGGCTTTTCTATTTTTAAAGTACCTAGAGAGGAACCTTCTGCAGAGGCACCGACATCTAAGCTGGGAGCAGCAAGTCTCAGATTAGCATCTTCCGTTGGCGAGAAACTGGCGAGTTTTTCCTTCGACAGTTTCAGTATCTGCATAATATCGATTTTGCTCGTTGCTGCTGCTGCTGCATTACTTACTGGCAGTCTTATCCCTTTTCTTACAACATAGTCCTGTTCTTCGTCGTCGCGTTTTGATAAGCCAAATGCATCAGAAAAATTACTAGGGCCATCAAAGGTTGATTTGGGTAGTGAGTGAAATCTGAAGACAGGAACATCAGTTTCAATATTTGAAGCAGCTTCATCATCATCATCTGCACTGTCATTGACCTCTCCAGTTTTTGGCTTAGATCCTGAAAAGCTGAACTTTGGTATTTTGAAATGTGGGAATCTGGACTTCTCATTAGCATCTACATCTGGAGCGCTAATATCAACTTTGGGTCCTTCCACCTTTGGTCCATTCAGTTCCACTGCAGGAACAGAAATACTGGCATCAGCATCAGGATCGCTCAAGTTAACTTTGGGTGCCTCAATTCCTGCATTTGGACTTGAAAGATCAAGTGCTGGGACCTTGAAATGAGGCAGTTTGAAGTCTCCAAGAACTGGATCTAACTCTACACCTGGTGTTTTTATCTGTCCATCTGGAGCTGTAAGGGCTAGTTTTGGTGCGTTGGTATCCAAATTTGGAGATTTTAATGTGACGTCAGGCGCTTCCAGTTCAGTGTTTGGCAACTTGGCATTGAGATCTAACTTTTGGCCTTGCAATTGTGTTTTGGGTGCCTCTAAATTCAGGTCTGGTGTGTGTATTTCAGCTTCAATCTTGGGAGCCGAGAGATGAAGATCAGGTCCAGAGAGATCAGCATCTAAATCAACATCAGGACCATTTACCTTTGGTTGAGAGAGCGCCCACTTTGGTTTTTTAAAAGTGGGCATTTTGAACTTTCCAGATGGAGGATCAATATCCAATTCTGGTTTCTTAATGTCAACATCAGCTTTGGGTAAATTCAGATCAATGTCTGGTGAGTTAATTTTACCATCTATCGTTGGAGCTGAGAGTTCAAGATCAGGTCCAGAGAGTTCAGCATCTAAATCGACATCAGGACCTTTTACCTTTGGTTGAGAGAGCGCCCACTTTGGTTTTTTCAAAGTGGGCACTTTGAACTTTCCAGATGGACGATTAATATCCAATTCTGGTTTCTTAATGTCAACATCAGCTTTAGGTAAATTCAGATCAACGTCTGGTGAGTTAATTTTACCATCGATCTTTGGAGCTGAGAGTTCAAGATCAGGACTGGATAGATTAGCATCTAAATCAACATCAGGACCATTTACCTTTGGTTGAGAGAGCGCCCACTTTGGTTTTTTCAAAGTGGGCCATTTGATCTTTCCAGATGGAGGATCAATATCCAATTCTGGTTTCTTAATGTCAACATCAGCTTTGGGTAAATTCAGATCAATGTCTGGTGAGTTAATTTTACCATCTATCGTTGGAGCTGAGAGTTCAAGATCAGGTCCAGAGAGTTCAGCATCTAAATCAACATCAGGACCTTTTACCTTTGGTTGAGAGAGCGCCCACTTTGGTTTTTTCAAAGTGGGCACTTTGAACTTTCCAGATGGACGATCAATATCCAATTCTGGTTTCTTAATGTCAACATCAGCTTTGGGTAAATTCAGATCAACGTCTGGTGAGTTAATTTTACCATCGATCTTTGGAGCTGAGAGTTCAAGATCAGGACTGGATAGATTAGCATCTAAATCAACATCAGGACCATTTACCTTTGGTTGAGAGAGTGCCCACTTTGGTTTTTTCAAAGTGGGCCATTTGATCTTTCCAGATGGAGGATCAATATCCAATTCTGGTTTTTTAATGTCAACATCAGCTTTGGGTAAATTCAGGTCAATGTCTGGTGAGTTAATTTTACCATCTATCTTTGGAGCTGAGAGTTCAAGATCAGGTCCAGAGAGTTCAGCATCTAAATCGACATCAGGACCTTTTACCTTTGGTTGAGAGAGCGCCCACTTTGGTTTTTTCAAAGTAGGCCATTTGAACTTTCCAGATGGAGGATAATATCCAATTCTGGTTTCTTAATGTCAACATCAGCTTTAGGTAAATTCAGATCAACGTCTGGTGAGTTAATTTACCATCGATCTTTGGAGCTGAGAGTTCAAGATCAGGACTGGATAGATTAGCATCTAAATCAACATCAGGACCTTTTACCTTTGGTTGAGAGAGTGCCCACTTTGGTTTTTTCAAAGTGGGCACTTTGATCTTTCCAGATGGAGGATCAATATCCAATTCTGGTTTCTTGATGTCAACATCAGCTTTAGGTAAATTCAGATCAACGTCTGGTGAGTTAATTTTACCATCTATCTTTGGAGCTGAGAGTTCAAGATCAGGTCCAGAGAGTTCAGCATCTAAATCAACATCAGGACCTTTTACCTTTGGTTGAGAGAGCGCCCACTTTGGTTTTTTCAAAGTGGGCACTTTGAACTTTCCAGATGGAGGATCAATATCCAATTCTGGTTTTTTAATGTCAACATCAGCTTTGGGTAAATTCAGATCAACATCTGGTGAGGTAATTTTACCATCGATCTTTGGAGCTGAGAGATCAAGATCTGGTGTATTCCAATCTCCGTCCACTTCAGCTTTTGGGCCATGAACTTTAGGTTTTTTCCATTTCAGATGAGGCCAGTTGATTTTTCCTGAGGGATCATCAACATCTGGAGCTGTGAGGTCAGCTTTGGCGAGATTCAGTTCAGCCTTGGGAACATTAATATCACCCTCAATTTTTGGAGACTCAAGATTTGCATCCAGTCCATTTAGATCTCCATCTACTGCCAATCCATGAACTTTAGGTTTCTTCCATTTCAAATGAGGCCAGTTGATTTTACCAGATGAAGATTCTACATCAAGGTCTGGGGTTTGCAAATCAAGGTCTGTGCCTTTAATATCCGCCTTTGGCAGCTTTATATCAACATCAGGGGGATCAAGGTCCCCCTTCACCTTTTGAAGAGAAAGGTTAACATCTGCAGGATCAATATTTGCATCTATATCCAAACCATCCTTTGAGCCATGGAATTTCGGTTTCTTCCACTTCAAGTGGGGCCAGTTGATTTTACCAGATGGGGAATCAATATCTACCTCAGGGCCTTTAATGTCTCCTTTGGGAAAGTCAATATCAACATCTAAATCCCCATCAACCTTTGCCATTGGCACACTGGCATCAGGTACTGAGATCTCAGCATTTAGGTCAGTATCTGGTCCTTTGACATTGGGACTTTTCCATTTTAAATGTGGCCATTTGAATATGCCTGATGGTGCCTCAATATCAGCATTGGGGGCTTCAAATTTTAGATCAGGGTCATTCAAATTTACTTTTGGCTCATTGATTTCCACATTTGGCATATTAAAATGTGACTTTGGAGTAGATAAGTTGAGATTTGGTGCATCTACCTTTCCACTTACGGATGGAAGATCCAAGTCACCAGAGACATCCATTTCTGCTTTTGGTGGTTCAATTTTTGGCAGTTTGAAGTTTGGCATTTTGAACTTTGGGGCCTGGTATTCACCTGATTTATTAACTTTCAAGGAAGCATTTGGTATCTTGACTTTTGGAGCCGACACACTGACATCAGGTGTTTTAAGCGAGCCGTCTATTTCTGATCCTGGTAGTCCTATAGACGGCATTGTGACTGCAGCACCAGCATCGACCGATGGCTTGTTAAGGCTAAGTTTGGGGAGGTCTGCATTGAGAGTGGGGCCAGTTATTTTACCATCCACTCCATGCTCAGCATTTAGCCCTCCACTAAAACTTGACTTTGGAGTTGATAAGTTGAGATTTGGTGCATCTACCTTTCCCCTTACAGATGGAAGATCCAAGTCACCAGAAACATCCATTTCTGCTTTTGATGGTTCAACTGTTGGTAATTTGAACTTTGGGGCCTGGTATTCTCCTGATTTCAAATCTGGTTTATCAACTTTCAGGGATGCATTTGGTATCTTGACCTTTGGAGCCGACACACTGACATCAGGCATCTTAAGTGAGCCGTCTACATCTGATCCTGGTAGTCCTATAGACGGCATTGTGACTGCAGCACCAGCATCGACCGATGGCTTGTTAAGACTGAGTTTGGGGAGGTCTGCGTTGAGCCTGGGGCCAGTTATTTTACCATCCACTCCATGCTCAGCATTTAGCCCTCCACTGAGGCCGTTGAAAGAAACTGCTGGGAGGTCAGCTGATGAATCCAGTGAAAGATCTGACTTAAATAGCCTCTACAAAACAGCAATATAAAAATATAGGTTAAGATACGACTTGCCAAAAAAAGAGTTGATTTCAACTTTGCTTTACTATTAGTCATACATTGGCTCCACACACTACAGAATTACTTTTACTAAAGAATTATTTTTGATTTCAGTTTTATTTCTGTTGATGGAACTGAATCGATCTGGTCGCGTTTGCTCCTAAACAAAAGTATTTACCTCTGTAGAGTTTTTGAGACCCAGTCCAAACGAGTCAAGCCCAACACCAGCACTCAGGTCCTTTTTTGTCAGAACCTTCATATTGTGTTCATATGGCTTTAGGGTCTCCAGGATGTTGCGCACATCACTTTCGTCAAGGTTGCTTAGATTTATCGTAGCTCCGACAATATCGTCCTCTGGAACAATGAGTAGAGAAACTGGTTAGAGATACAAGTTTAAGTTTGTTGAACACAAAAACCATGCAGAATCTGAATCTTTTAGTTTCCAGGTCTGCAGCTTACCTGCTTTTAGGTCACCTTTGGCAGCAATAGCGTTATCTGCATTCCCGCTGATGGAGAGTCCTTCCCCAGAGCCATCCAGAGCCAGACTTCCTGAAATGCTTGCACTCTTGCTTTCCTCGCTCTGTGAATAGTAAGGTTTAAAAAAAAAAAAAAAAAGAAAAAGTGAGGTGTGTTTATAGCCACATCTTTATCATCATATATATTTTTTTACTTACCATTTTTTGCATTTATGCCCTCATGTCACAGAATGAACAACAAAATGTGGTCGAATCAAAGAAATCCCACCCTAAAAGAAAGCATAGAAAAACCTTTGTAGGATAAACTGACATAGAAGCACAACAACAAAAGCTGAATTCGAATCTATTTCACCTTTAAATCTGAGCACGCTGAAAAGACTATAGAACACAGTTTCTAATCTGGTTTTATATTCCAAACTTGCTGGGCTTCTGTGTGAAGCTCTGCTGAACATGACCAGGACTGGCCAATGCGTTGGTTTAATTATTTAATTAGAGCTGTAACTTCTTTCATGTCGAATGGAACTCGCAAAAAGTTTGAACCCACCAGCAGTGACTGATGAGCAGTCCAAACTGTACCTTTAAAATGAAAATAAGACCATAGAGATTCTGAAGGCAACGGATCCAAAAAACAGTGAAAATCCAGCAAGTTGCAGATATTTCATATTGTTACATCCTGCTTAGGTTCTTTTTTTTTTTTTAATTGAGAAGCTGATCAAATTCGCCTGACAGAGAAACACCCACGTTCAGACCGTCTCACACTTCAGGAATCCAAACACTCTGCCTGCTTTGGTGGAGGGAATGTGTCCATCCGAACCTGTCGGTTCAGATGCATTCTGCCTGACACACACAAGCAGCCGTCCTGCCAACCACGCCTCAGTGTTTTCACACGTAAACGCCGAGTCTGTGCCGAGGCGCATTAACAACAGCAGCCCAGGCTTCAAGGGCAGCCGGGCTAGATCGCAAAAGAAATTTCAAGCATGAAAAAATAAATAAATAAATAGATATTAAAAACAAAAAAATTATAAGAAAATCAAGGCTGATTCTGAAACATAAAAAAAAAAAACTTTGCTTTGACTAACATTAACCTCAATAAATCGAGATAAACTGAATGGAATATAAAAACCATGAAGAAATTAACTATGCAACTTCAGATATTTTCATTTTCCCCTCAGCTACATTGAAATCGTTCATTTCTAACGAAATGTCCGAACAGAAAGACGTCTTCTAAAACAACTCTGACTCAAAGACAACCACTGGGTTGATCAGAGTCTGATCTGCAGAGTCACTAGTTACCCTGACAGCAACACGGGTCAAAGCAAAATCCAAGACGCAGCGCAGGCACACAGGGGATTTTAACCAGAAACTGCAACATGAAAACGGCGACAATGAAAGTCTTAAAGGAGTGTATGGACCAAATCCGTGTTTTGAGCTACAGGAGGAGACGGCGCAACATCTTTTTAATTCTTCAAAATCACCAAAACCCCTGGTGTGAAATAAGTGAGGCCTCATGACAAAAATAGAAGTTTTTAGTAAAGATGCATTTACCAGAAATTCCATCCATTTAAACCAAACTACAGGCCAGGTTTATACATAACTGTACACCTTTAAAAAATATAAATCATCTCATCCTGATTTAATCAGGATGACATGATTAAGTAAAGGGAACATACTTTAGGGACTCACCTAGTAGCGCTGCCAGAGATGTCCACTCTTCAGGGTATCACTGCTGCTTTGTTAGGATGAGAGGAACTGGCCTGTTAAATGCCTGCAATCATCTGGGAGAACGAGTTGGACAGCATCAGGACCGCCCCGTCCTTGCGCCCTCTTTCATTTGCAAAAAGCTCAGTTTCCTACACACACACCTTTTAGGCTGGTCTCTTAAGCAGCCGAAACTTAAGCCAGAAAGTGCGCCTAAGCGGGAGAAACACACCACTCCTTTTGCACTGTCTTAAAGTGAGCAGTGCAGGGTTTCTTCTGTTCCCCTCCACCCCCCACTAATTTTATTAGACAATTATTGGCTAAAGATTTGCCAGATCCTTCCTGTTTAGAGTTTATGTCTCACGGTTTAAAAATGATACATTATTATACCAAAATACTGTCTCCTCCCTGTAGGAACTAACATCTGTTTTGAGTGTCATTCATTTCAGACGATCACATTATAACACCTGAGTGGTAAAGCTTCTGCGCATGTTCTTCCTGCTGAAATTATCAACATTTATCACAACAGTGAAGGAGACATTGTTTGACAGCTTCAGGCATGCAGTCTGGAGTCTTCGCTCGACTCGAAGCCATGTAAACAATTCTGTACCGCGTTGAAGGTTTAAGCAGACCTGCTCGTCTTAGAGATGTCATTTATAAAACTATGCATTTGGTTCACGATTTGAAGAACGTTACATGCTCCAATTATAAATGTAGAAAGAAAATTGCACATTTCTGGACTGATGTGAGGATGAGTTTGGGCATCTGGATCATTGTGAGCCTCGCCGGATGAGGTTGAAATATCAGGACTGAAGGGAGAATATTCTGATCCGGGTTAGGATTTCACACAAAAGAAGATTCGAATCTTAAACTTCTTTTTATCTTTTTTTTTTTTTTTTTTTGCCCATTTTGGACCACACGCAGTCCATGATCTAGTCTCTGTGACCGTCTACAACATCAGCTCCGCATGCGTCGCTTTCCCCAGGTTCAGATGCGAGCCGACTCAGTTCAATTCTCTGGAGGGTAAAAATCACATATCAGAATCTCCACCTGAGATCACTGTTGTGATCAGTTAGCTTTAACAATTTGCTAAAGGCTATAATGAAGTGGTGCTGAGTGCAATATAGCATGCTGGCAAGAAATCTCAGCTCATGCAGTGAAGCTGCAAGAGAAAACCCATCGTTTTATTTCGTTGATCAAGAAAGCCGTCCAAAATTCTTGGCAATTTCTATATCAAAACTAAATGACTCACTACCCAGCCCATCCAGTAGAAAAGTACAATGCGATGACTGTTGGCAAGAAAAACCAACCAGGGTGTTGTCTGTTCAAGATAATAGCTGAAGGATGAGCAATTGAAGCCTGAATTCCTCCTGGGGAAAGGTGGACCGAGTGAGCCAGGGCCTTTGAATCTGCTGCCAACGAGAAGCGCGGAAATATAAGCTCTAGTTCTGACTTTAGCTTCATGATTCTGACACCTGCACAACAAGAACAGTAACTTATGCCGCGGCAGGAGCCCTTCAAATAACCTGTGGTTTTGCATCCACTTCAAAAAGTAACCACAATGACACAACGACTGGAAAGTGCCAGCTGAGCCCCTCCTTTACAGATTAAAAGTTACATCTGCAAATCTGAGAAATTGTAAGTTTTTAAAAGAATGTGTTTTTTTTTTTTTTTAACTCATTCTGCTTTGATCCCAGTTGAACTAATTACATTTCAGAGATGGTGATGCTTTTCTCCAAGCAGTGCACAGGCAGGTGGCCGTTAACACAGAACATCTTTACAAGCAAATCAGCTGCCCAGGTCTGTCCTGACATATTCTCTGAAAAGCCAAAGCCAAAGCCAAAGCATTTGCTGAGCCAAATGGGGGTTGAGAAGTGATGTGGTGGGGGGAGGGGAGAGCAGAGAGGTAAGATTTGGGAGTGAGTTGTTGCTTCTTTTTTTAAACAATGTGAAATAACAAGAACAGACTTACAAAACCTGCAGAAGACCTCAGCAAGGCGCAAACCTGGGAGGCGGGTGGATGTGCCCAAGACTGAAATGTCAAAAATCAGCTGCATAAATTACAAGTCTAGAGGCAGGAACTCATTACTGGAGCAGAAACAGGTGAGTGATTGCACTGATGAAAGACAGCTGGGAGGGAACATGAACAAGTCAACTCAAAAGAATCAGAATGAAGAACTGAACAGGACAAGAAAATTCAGTCCAATTGATCGTGAAAATGTTACGAAATGAACAGTGACCTCCAAACCGAAACATCCCGTCTGTGCTCAGCCAAGCTCAGCTGCTGATTCATATCAAATCCTGATATTGAATATCAGTATTTAATTTGAAAAAGTGCCTGCGGTGAACCCGAAATGACTCGCTGGAGACAGGCACCAGGACCCGTCCTGACCCCACTAGGGACAAGGGTGTTTGAAAATGGATGGATGGATGAAAAAGGGCAACAAAAAAAAAAAAAACATAATTTTATTTTTTGTCAAAAAATTAAAAAGTGTCACTTTGACACTTATGTGAGCTATAAAATCCTCATGGTAAAAGAGTACTAGAAATAGAAACCAGAAAGCTGAGGCTGCTGGATGTCATGTAAATGATCAACCTTATGCCTTTTAAACGCAACATGAAATTCAGCTATTTCTAGACCCAGTTTCTGTCGTCCCGTTCCCTCAGGTCCTGCCTTTCTTTTGGAAGTATCACCCATAACATGACGCAACCTCCACCATGTTTTATTCAGTGATCTGACCCAGACTAGCGGTTTATTTGACCAGTGAACGTTGTGGGTGGAGACCCGTGTCTTCACAGCAGTCGCATCGGAGTTGGACTGAGCAGAGCCTGGTAAAAGCACATTCCACACTTTTAAAATTTTTATTAGCAAATGAAAATGCAAACTAATGTGTTGTTTTCCTCCCACTTCAGTATTATGATCTATGACATGACGGTTTATCAAATGAAATCCCATTATAAATGCATTCTTAAGAGATACAATGTGAAAGGACTGAGAGTAAGAATATCTTTTCAACGTATGATATTTATTCTGTCTTGTAGATAATAATTGTCATGTGTTGCTATATTAATGTCTGAACTTTGGGTCTCACCACAGATTAACAGGAGTTAAAACAGAACAGTAAGTTTCGTCCTACAGAGAAGTTCCTTCATATAAAAAACACAAAGACTGAAGCTCGACTTCTTAAATCTGACCCAATAAAATGAATGAAAGACACCAAAGCGATTAAACTGGCTGTCGTCATTTCACACGTCTCCAAATCGATTTGTGCAAAGTAAGAAGTTTTTGTGTGAATTTGTGATGAGCAAACCGAGAGGTGCAGAGGCTGCAGGTGCTGGTGGGGGATTCTGTTTGCACATGTCTCAGCTGCCGGTTGCTTTTTCTAGAATCAAACAGAAAAGAAGAAGAAGAAAAAAACGTGGTTCTGTGATTCCCATTTCCTTTGCCAGCTTCTCTTCAGGTCTTAACTTGTGGCCTTTAATGAATACCTGTTGAGCAGCATGAAGCAGGCTGGGGTCTGCTCAACAAAACACACACACACACTCACACACACAATAACTTTTTGCTACAGTGCCAAATACATTCTCAGTATCTCTCTAAGCTGTTTGCAGGTTTTCCTGTCCATTCACAGAGCAGCGCTCTCATTCAGACTTGGCCTTCGACTCGGCTCAAAGTAAAATTCCTGCATTATCAGAGCCTTGTTGCAAAACTGCTGGGAGGTTGGGGGAGGTGTGCTACGTATTTGTTGATAGCACATTGTCATTCCGGTACAACTGCTAAGTACTACCTATTGCAATGAAAGGTATGAGGAGAATGTGCAGAAATGTGAGTGCCACACATGCCACAAAGCAGCACTGAAACCAACTCTGACACAGGAGTGAAATATGCCAAAACCTCCATATATCTTCACTTATCAGAGGCTGCACCTAAAGACCAGATCTTTACTGTGCTGCGGACAAAAGGAAACAGTTCAGGGAGTTTTATTAGCGCCACGAAGTCAAACAACAATTAGGGAAGCAATTTACAAAAGCATAATGTGCACGACAGCGAGCTGTGTAAAAAAACAACAACACATGAACAAAATCAAATCAAATATCAGCTGACAAAAACAAAACTTTACTCTTTGTTTTATGTAAATCGTCTTCAACAGATAAAAGAAAAAAAATCTGTGTTTAACACAAAGAGAGCAGAAACACAAATAAATAAAATGTGGATAAATAGACAAAACTCTTGCAGAAACAACCTCCTCAGCGTCCCAGTGGTCTGCACAGGTATTGGGAAAAGATTTTCCAACACAGACCTCTTTTTTCCCGTCCAACAAAAGTTCAGAAAGACCGATGCACTGGAACGGGAGCCGTGGAAACCCATTCCACAGCCTCCAGGTATTCTTCACTACTCGCTCCAGAGGCAGCTTTGATGCGTTTTGGATTATTGCTTTGTTGGAACAAGTCTTAACCTGCTGAAACGGACATGCTGACATTAAGGAGAAGGTGACGATGTTGGAGGCATTTCTTTGTGCAGCACACATTAGTCTGACTTAGCAGAGAAACGATCCCACAGCATGATGCTACTCCTATCATACTTAACAGTCGGTGTTCTTAAACTGGAACTCTTCAGAAAGCAAGATCATGGCGCTTTTCTCTAGGAAGCATTGGGCTCATCTTCCCCGGCTTATGTACATTTATCCTCAGACCTGAGAACCATGTAAAAAAAACACCCAAAAATCTATGCACTGCTGAATCCAATGACACTTGGACACGAATTAAAAAAACATTCATAAAACTGGAAGAATTTCTGGAAACTTCAGTACAGTTCGCTGGCGAATTAGGTAAATATATGCACAATTCTAATCTAATCTGTGTGTCTTATATAAAAATCTAGAAGATTTCAAAACTTTTGCTTTTAAAAGTTGACATATGTCAAAATCATACATCTATGTTGGGGGAAGTAAACTTTTGTCTTCAGGTGTACATGAAGACAGAAGACGACTGTCTAGATTCTATCCTTACAGAGCAGCTATCCTGCATCCTTCTAGCCTCTAGAAGGATGCAGAAGAGGGAAAATCCCCTCCCCTCGCCCCCCCACACACTTGAGTTATTTACACTCAAATGAACTGAAACGGACGAATGAAGAAAACCAGACATGAGTTGTTTTAATACTGTGCAGCTCAAGTGACTGAATCCATCAGTCACACCGGCTACCACCTCCCACTGTGTGACGGAGGATGTGGTGAAACTGTGGCACAGACTTCCTTCCACCAACGTCCCACTCAAAGATGGAACAAAAATGATGAAACAAAAATGATGTTCCTAAGTAGTAAAAATGAAGCAAGCTGCTTTTCTGAAGGCAGCTTGCTCCATTTTTTATTTGTATTTTCTTTTTTGAGTGAAATGCGAGTTTTATGTAGGTGGCGGCAACGACAAAAAAAAAGCAGCGAGGAAAGTATAAAAGATTTAATAGAAAGGATTACAATGTCTGGTCAAATGTGTTCAGTGGCCCAGTCAACTGGAAACAGATAAACCTAACGTGATAAAACCACAGAGTTAAGACTGACAAGTTACTGACACATACTGAAGAAGTTACAATTTTAATTTCCGTTCTCTATGAATTCAGAAAATGTCAAGAGTGGCAACACCCGTTATAGGCAGCTCAGATCATGTGGCTTGAAGGGAATGTGGTGAACCTGCATTCTGACCGTGCTGTGGTGAGAAACAAGGCGAAACTTTGGCCCACAGCCTCAGAGACGAGCGCTCACGCAGAAAAGCTTCGGCGTACAACGCAATCAGATTGAATGTCGTTACCTCTGCTGATTATTCGGCTGTGCTCCATTATGGCAGCTGGTGAGGGACCCAATCTCTACACATCAACTTTGTTCAGTCGGCTGGAAGCAAAACGCATTCCTGCCGTCCTGCACCAGTCACATACCAGGATGTTTACTTCCGGAAGCTTTCCGGAAGCAAGTTTTCGACTGCATGTAGCCCGGTCCCAAGGTCAGTGCTGTCCAGCTGACAACTGTGCTGTCTCAGCAGCCCAAACAGGCTGGAGCACACAGGGTGAGGCAGTTTTCTTCCTCTACGCTAGGAAACTTAATGTTTTTGTTTTTTGTCTTCACTTGAGGCCTTCACAAGTTGCCTCATTTCGTAGAACAACACTCTGTTCTTTTAAAAGTTACATTTTAATACTGAGTTGCCAATAGAGGAAAAAAAGCACCTTTTTGAACAGTTGTGACAAGAAATCTTTTGATGTTTTCCTCAGTATTTTCACGATGAAGCTGAATGCTCTCCTTCAGTTTTCAAATGTTTCAAAAAAAAAAAAAAAAAAAAAAAAAAAAAACGAAATCAAGCCTTGAAGTTCCATTTACAACCAGCTGTAAGGATAAAAGAGCCCAAGAGGCAGGAAAAACTGATTTTAAGCAACAAAAATGATAATTGATGTTCTGCCGTCTCTAATTATGTTCAGACCTGGTTATTCAGATCAGCCAGGTATTCTGACCCACAGCAAGACTGGACTGATTTATGGCCAAAGCCATGATAATCTCCTTTAGACAAACTCTATCTAAAGGAGGCTCTAATGGTCAAGTAGAAAGAAAAAAGCCATTTCAAGGGGAAGGTCTCCATTTCACCTGCTTAGCAAATACAAACTCCAGCTTTGAGTGATGACGGATACCTGCTCAGAAATCAATGTTTGTCTTTCTTAGTCACAATTTTAGACTGTTGCGGGAAAGATAAAGTGGCAACCGTGACGAAACGCACATGGAATGAAAAGTTCAGGCACACTTGGCTCAAAATCAACATCCTTCAACAGATCAAATCAGCACAGAATTTTAAATCTGTCATCTCTTGTTCGGAGCACAAGAACAGGATCGTGTTGGGAGACATACCAAAGGGCTGAAGCAAGAGATGCCTTAGATGAGCATCTAAGAACAAAACAAAAACCACAGAAATGAGAAAAGCTTCACATCCAGGCAGCTTGTTCAATCTGGAGGAAATACAACCAGGTCAAAGATTACGGCAGCTTGATTT